ACTGCTACTGCTTGCTACTGCTACTGGTAGACGTAATTGTGGTCGTGGGGTTATGGGACTGTAATAGCAGTAGTGAGCTGGTGGCAGCAGCAGTAGCCAGAGGCATGGGTAATAGTAGCGGTGGTGGCACCGGCAGACGCGGTAACCGGTAGTGGTCGTTGGATGCAGCTGCCACCAACAAGAGCAGCAGAGGGAGTGGCAGCAGCATTTCCTGTTGTGCAGTCGCGGCAAGTTTATGAATGTAAGTTCTGTTCTCAACTACAGATTGACAGGTTTTCTGCAGTTGCAGCTGCCCTTGGCTCAGCACTGCCTCTGACCCCTAAAGATGGCAGGATGCGGACTTCCCTGAGGGCAAGGCTTTCTGGTCCGCCCAAGGGTCGTTCGTTGCCAGTTTTGCAGCTTCTGGAGTTGCCCGGGCACGGCGCAGTGCGAGGTGCCTCAACTCCACCGGGAATGGCCTCATGTTGGACTCCCCGATTTGTGTGGAGAAATGCCCGATAGATGTCCGGGCCCACGACATTCTAAGTGCTCAGCAGGCAGATTTTCAAAGTTGTTGATGTACTTACCCCTCCCTACACAATTGCCCGCTCGACATGAGAGCCGCATTCCTTCCGAATTAGTCTGCATTCATTGCTCGGAAGCAGCTCAAGCTTGGAACTAGCTCTCGAAAACCCGGAAGATAGAGGATTGAAGCGCTGCACTGAGACCGCGCACCACCACAAATGCTGGGACAGTTCGGAGAAGATGAACCGCATCGTTCAGGACACGGTTTTGCAGTCAGAGTATTTCGAGGTTCTCGGACTCGGAACTGGCGTAAGTTTACCAACCCTCCCTGAGTAGGACTGTCGAGTCACTTCGGTTTGATTCCGGAGTACTGATCGCGCGATGCCAGAGAGATGCCTCGTGCATAATCTCTGGTCGTGTGGACGGCATGTCGTAAAGGAACGGGCCCATCGGACGACTTTGGGAGGACCTGCTGGGGTAGGACACCGGAAACATACCTTTGCAGCCCAAGCCCCAATGGCCCAACAGGACTGAACCTCAACTCATCAAGCCATATTCCCTCCTTAAGCCTTCAAGTCTACGCCAGGACTATCCGTCCCATCACTTCGGATATTTCTGCAAGCCCCTCGACAAAGCGCTCAAGAAGGAGGCTTCCTGTCTCTGGGCTGAGGAAACTTAGAGAGGAGGAAGCTAGGACTGAGGGTTTAGGAACATAGACATTGACATAGGCCCCTTAGAAATTCAGCAGACTTCTCTTACAAAGCCGTGAAGGTGAGGACCCTGCTCAAGCAATGTGGCTGCTTCACACACTTTGGGCTTGAGGTCTAGATTCTAGACCCGCCAGAAGCCACCGTGCGCAGGTCCATGAGTACAGCTTCCAGCAGGAGAAAGGTGTCATCCTGAGGCCCACAAAACTACGTCATTCGGACGCCTCAAATGACTGTTGCCTCATAACTCATAACTTTGGATCGCAGGCTGTGGGGCGTTCTATCCAGGACTTGGTATGTCCTGGTGATGGGCGCTGTGATCACCGGGCTCATAGGGTGCCTGCCGTCTTTCCCACGCTTCCGAAGTGTGCAACATCTTGAAGATCTCCCCTTGCAGGTACTTCTACATCTTCCTGCTTTTCATCAGCCCGGAAGTCGTGGCAGCATGGTGCACCGTCATATTGACGGTCCTGCCAATGGGTTGGAGCCTCAAATCTCCTAATTCATGTTGGCACTCTGGCACAGCACAGTACTTTGCCTCGCGAAAGGAACCGGCGCATTTATTCTCTACACCACATCCCACCCAGGACTGCACGTTCGATTGCATCAGCGAATACTGAAAGAGCTGCTGGAACGGCAGGCTCGCCACTGGCCGCCGCGTTTTTCGAAGACACGGAGTATTCGACGACAGAGAGGTATGTGGCAGGCGCTTGTCCAGCTCGTAGTAGGGTAAAGGGAATCGCTGCCGCAGGTCACGTATGTTCAGCTTGTAGAAACATGTAGAAGAGGCCCGGCGCAGTCTCGGCTTCCTTCCAAGGCAGTACAACGTAACTGTAACGCCATGATGATTCACTCCGCTTTGAATGATGATTCTGCTGGTTCTTCCTTCCCTGTGATTGCTCGTCTTCTGCAGGCATTTAGACTATCGTGGCTCTTAGCAGCACGGTTGGAAATAGACATGTTCATTCGATGTGTAGACGTTTTTATCAACATCGGCAGGCTGCTAAGCCAAACCAAGCCAAGCCCCCGACGATGCCCGACGCCCAATGCAGGCACCGTTCTTCTAGTTGCTGGCATGATCGCTGCATGCATCGCCATCCCGGCTGAGATTCTGCCGTTTTCGGGGATGCCTGAGCTGATGAGTTTTGTCGCCAGGCATCGGGTCAGCGGAAGTACATCGAGGCTACGACTTTCTGTCTGGACACCGCTGGCGACTGCTTGACAGAGGACGCATGTGGCCATCAGAAGCCTTGCAACGTTGCTATCGTGCTCTCGTGGAGTGCCCGCTCGTCCACCCTCCTCCGGGTGTGGTTTCCCACAGGGTTTCTGCCCACTATTCGGAGGGCACACTGACTTGAGACCAGCTTCGAAGGGGGTGGGCGAACATTGCCACTGCGGGAGGGGGCCCCTTGTGTGCTGGAAATGGTGGATGAGGCCGTGATGTGAGTATGTCCGGGTTTAGGGTTTAGGGTTTGGTGGATGAGGCCGTGATGTCCGGGTACGCACACGTCGAGTTGGCACATAGCATCTGCAGAGGAATGTGCAGAGAAGCGTCTTTGCCGTTATCGGCACTCGACTGGTGCACTGCCTGAGCGGAGGTGACGGTGTTTGCTTGGCTTGGTACCCTGAAAGGTGACCTCTGGGGGAAGCTGTCTTGCCCTCGCGCTGCTTTGTACGGAAGCAAGCACGCCCTCCCGCTTAATCGGGGGCCTTTTCGTTCGTCATCCCGTCGTCGTTATGTTGCTGGAGGTGTCGCCAATTTTGTTAGGCCGGGCATGTGTTTTCGGCCTGACACATGCCTCGGTCGATACTGACTGACTGACTGACTCACTCACTCACTCGCTGCGGCTCGTGGTGAAGAGTATAATGTAGGGGCTTAATTAAGTACCGTATTCTAGTTCCTGTATAATTTACCCCAAGACCCTCTTCCAATTCTCAAGGCCCCTATATTATCGGAGCCGTAGTCCAAAGCGGTTTCTACCAGGCTGAGACTAAGGGGCCATGCAGCAACAACACTACGGAAACGCACTCGCAGGCCACAAGCCGAAGGCGACAAACCGGGACACACGATGCGGGTGGTTGTCAAAATTATGGTCCCTTTATGGATCCGTAATATAATACGGCACCTAATATTTAGGGTACCCAAAAAGGGACCCTAATTTTGACAACCCCCCATGTTCGTCCAGAGTCCAGAGGATCTAACTGTTGCTTTCTACTTCCGCATTGTTGGACGAAGAGCTCATCGACTCCTCAACCATTTTTAGACATGAGTTTAGAAAAGCTGGAGCATTGCTATTTCCCGTCAGCTTGGTGACCTTTATGTTTGGAAACAGCGGTGCTTTATGACTCCATCATGATGCCGTTGAGACACTAGCTTTGAATTGGTAAGCCCCCTATACTGTGTTTCGTGTTTCAGTGTTGTGTGAGTTGAAAGTGTGGGCTCGTGGCATTCTTACTGTTGCTGCTCTTTGTAATCGCTTTTCTGACATATCCGTGGTGATTGCGGTGGCGACAACTGATGAGGATGTGACGTTGGTCAGGGTGGTGGATGTGGTTACAAGCTTCGCACCCTGCCGCACCCCGACGACTACAGCATCCCAGTTGCGCAGTAGTCTGCTCAACACTTGCTGCACGCATCGCGAAATCGGCAAGCTCGTTTGTTTTGCAAACTGCAAGGCAGGCATTTCACAACAGAAAGCACAACAGCAACTGGAGCTGTACGAAGTGAAATGGCAATCTGCATTCAGAAAGCCTAGTACGAAAGTGCAGTTCTCAGCAGAGATGCGAAAAGCAGGAATCAAAGCTCAACAAACCCCCTAAAGCCTACACCATAAACCCTGCCTTAAACCCCATAAGCCGTAAAAGCCTTCAACCCCAAACCATTGATGGTCCAGCATCCTAAACCCCAAACCCTAAACCCTAAACCCTAAACATGCAGCCTCCAGGAGTGGAGCATTCTCTTGGAGCCCCTCATCTCCGTTGCTGCCAAGGCGAAGTGCAGTCTGTTGTCGCGTGTTCTTCTGTGGGAAATCGCCAGGTTTTCATCGCGTCGCTGGGCTTCTTCGTCCTCTTCAACCTGGCATCGATGAATGTGGTCTGCTTGGCAAGATTTGTTGAGTTCGACCCAGCCGGCCTAATTAAGCTCCTGGCTCGGCTAGGCCCACGCAGCTGCCCCGTTGCCACAAAAAGTGTGCAGTGTCTTCCACGTCTTCGTTTGTACGCTGGCTGTCGGTGCCAGGTAGAAACCCAGATTTCCATCGGAACATCCTTACAGAAGAAGGAGTACATCGAATGGAGCACGCAGGTGCGTGGGTTCGTTTGCACTTCAATGATTACTGTCAGTTTCTATCTCGCAGGCGAAGTGCAAACTGGTCTTCTTCCTGATATATCTCATTTGGGTAGAAGAGGCCGGAGGAGATTGATGTTTCTCAAGAAATCAGTAGCTATGTCTAGAAGATTTTTCAGTGCTTGGCCAGCGGTTCCTTGATGAATGCAGACTGTTGTCGCAACATCGCGCTACGTGATGGCCGCCGTCTCAGAGTGCTAGAGCCCGCTTCGGTATGTGGTTCAGCGTGGGGGTCAGGGGTTTAAGGAGTTTTTTTTTTTTGTTTTGGGGGGGGGGGCCCTGAAAAAGCTGGGTTTGTTTGCCTTGACATTACCATAAGCTCCAGCTTCGTGCCTTGAGAAGTTGCAGAATTGACCCTTGCTACCCCGCCCCTGCTGTAGTCCTAATTTCTCAGGTCCAAACTCTCGCGGAGGTGCTAATGTCGGCAGTACATCCTGACCTGGTGGGTGTGGGCGAGGAGGGTACATGTCGAAGCTCGCCAAAATGAAACGGAAGCCTTGAAACGCAACGCTTGAGCCTTGTGTTGGTGAGGTTTTCCTTCCCCCTTGCCAAGGCTTATGCCACAGAGGTCTGGTATTTCACCGAGCCGGGCGATGATGGGCCGGAATCTGTGCCTTTCGGGCTCTGCCTTCATGTTGCAATCGTGCGTTGAGCGTATGATCGACGGTATACGGGGGTTTCCGAAAATAGGGGACCCTAATATAGTACCCTAAATAATAGGATCCTCAATAGAAGGACCCCAAAAAGGTACCCCTAATTGTCGGAAACTCCCATACAGCTTCGCCCCACCCCAATCCGCCCCCCCCACGATCCCCATCACTCGTCACGGTCACTGATTGAGAAGAGGATTGGCTGCCAAGGCGTCGGGAACGCTCCTATACTTGCCTGCTTCTTGAGGCTGCGCAGCTGGATTTGTCTCTTTCGGTGTGAGTGGCTTTGAGTCCAAACCTAGTAATCTTGGACCCTAGCGGCATTAGAGCATGAGCTGGAGTCTGTAAGAAGCGCGTCGGAATAGGATGCACGTGCAGGTTCAGTAGCAGCTGGACGGATAGCCGGATAGCCATGTAGGCATGCGGAAGACCTAAGTCATTATAGCATATCATAACGAGTATTAGGGTGTATTCTTATATTGCATATTGTGGTACAGCATATCATAAGAGTTCCAGTGTAGCACATATTATAGTCTGATGTAGTATACTAGCAAAGCAGATTGTAGCAGAGATCACGCGACGGTGGAGGTCGCTCCCCTGAACATCGTGGTTGTCGTCAACGTCATAGTTGCAGCGCTGCGGTGATGGTGGTGGTGGCGGTGGTGGTGGTAGTTAGTAGCTGTGGTAGTCGTCGTCGTAGTACATAGGACATAGGAGGAGAGGAGGAGGAAAAGGAGGAGAAGGGGGAGCAAGAGGAGGCAGAGAGAGGATGAGGGGAGAGGTCATCATCCTTTCTGCTGATGTGCTTAGCGGCAGTAAGGATGCTTTCGCTGGCCATTCGGAAGATCCGACTGATGTTCGGCAAACTTCACCACCGTTGTTCGCAGGCTTACTGGAATGTTCTACGCTACCACAGCGGGAGCATGGCCATGGGCGGTTTGGCAGCAGCAATGTCATGATGCATTCTTTCCCGTCTTTGAGCTGCGCAGATGCTTACCTGAAATAGTCTAAAGCCCAGCTTTTGTTCGGTTACAAGGGTATGGCTCAGGCTCCTTCATCTACGTCTTTGGGCGCATTCCGGCCAATGTGGTGCGCCGTCCCGGCCTTCTTGGAGCAGCAGCACTAGCATTTCGGGCCATGTCAGAGCCAGTTGACACGGTGCGTAAAAACCAGATCTGCCTTTCTCGAGACGCTGACAGCTGCGGATGTTTGTGGCATTTCCCCTGGATCTCTTAGTTTGGGTACTAAGTCGGCGCAAGAGAAGCAAAAAAAAGGGTGTCGGTCCAAAGCGGCGTACAAGATGCGTAGGCGACATGCGAATGCGAAGGTCACAGGTGCGGTCTTGAAACATCGATGGCAGCAGGAGCGACACGTGTCTGGGTTCTGCGGCATACCTGTAGCTGGAGTGATGGATTGACGGCGGAACCAGAGTAGACCTCTTGAATTGAGGTGTCAGGAATGACACAGACCGATATGTCAAGATGCATGGTCTCACGGGATGTAAGCCCCAAATGCCAGGGCTTCTGCGGCACTGTGGCTTCGGAGCTCAATGCCTCGCGCTTACTGCAGGACGAGGAGCTTCGTACAACTCTGAGGCTTCATTTCCTTTCACTCCTTGTGTTCGCCAGTCATGACCATCCTTGTTGTCATCATCCTAAACTTCATTATCCTCATCATCATCATCATCATCATCATATTCATCATATTCATCATATTCATCATCATCATCTTCTTCGTAAGTGGCGGCAGCACAGTTTCACATGGTCATTGACAGCCACCACCGCGTCGTCATTCCGCTTGCAATGGTTGAAAGCCCTAAACCAGGAACCACAGGCAGTGCTCTCAACATGCAACTATTAAGGCTTTGGCGAGCCAGACCTCAATTCCTAACTTGAGGAAATCGTTTGAACTGAAGCGATTCATGCGACCTGACGCCGAGGCTGCTACATAGATATTTTGTACAACATGGCTTTCGGTGCCTCTGGATCTTTCGCGTGCGCTGCACGTCGTCATGTTTGGTTTCTGCCGGGGAGTTATGTTGGAGTTATTTCTTGTCGGGGTAGCTTGTTCTGCTTGTCGTGGTAGTTTTGGGTTTGAGGCAGCTACAAAGTCTCGGATGTTACCGTGCGGAAGAAGCCACAATCCAAGGCAATGAATGCCTTAAACCCTGCACGCCCTAAATCTCTTGTGATCAAGACCCAACAGACCGCCCCTGTACTAATCATAATGATCTTAACAGCAGCAATAATATTGTGAAAAAATAGTAAGAATACAATGTGCCCCCCCCAAACAGCTGTTCTAATTTTTAAGCTTTCCCATATTCAGTGCTATAAAAACTCATATGAAGTCCATGTAAACCACCCTCCCCACCCAAAAAAAAACAACAAAAAAAAAGGCGCAACTGCAATTCTTCAGGCCCCACGGTCGCAGGTACATGGACCTGCCGCTCACCTCCACCGGCTACTTCCGGGGAGGGGTTCGAGCCCTGCAGGCCCCCGAAGTGCAGGGGTTGGAGGTTTAAGGGTTTAGGGTTAAGGGTTTTAGGGTTTTGGCTTTAGGGGTTTAGGG